ACTAAATAAATTTTTTAGTAAATGCCTTCGGGGTTGACGAAATTTTGGGGAAGGTCCAGGGGTCGATTGGAGGTTAATAGCCGAATAAGAATTAGCGACTGATAAGTATAGTGACGAGTTCATGGATTACAAATAATATTAACGACCTTCTTAATTACTTCCTGACAAGGAACAAAACATACAACACTAATACATTGGAAATTCCTCTTCTTTCGTATCTGCCTTCCATCTTCAAATACAAATTCAGTCTAATTTGTATTAACTTTTACTTCTGTAATTTCTCTATTCTTTTATATTCGATTATATGTAAACGGTAAAAACGACTCCTTTATATGTTTATGTGAATAAGGTTGTAGGTTTAACAAAAATAAGTTGTTAGTCACATTCATTTGAAAATCGGTATTTGCACGCTTAAGAACGTAACTGTGAGAAGTCGAACATAATAAGTTAAATGTGCTTTAATTTTGTAGCATTACTCACAGTTTGATTTTCTCCGTATTCACTTGAAGTTCTTCTAATAAGTTTGTCACAACAAACCACGTTTTGGAAAATTTCTTAGAACCTTCTGACCGGATCCGAAATTCCATTATCAGTTCCCCACCAGGAGACCGAGGCGCGTCGAATGACACCTCATATGACTCGATTGGACGCGAGAAGTGGTCTTACGGTGAGTGACGGATCCGCACACACGCATACTCGCAGTTACTCAAATACTATTGTATGTCGGAAGTAGTTGTATGTGATGTCCCCAACGCTGTAAACTGTTTTAAAAATATTTTCATGTGTTGAAAATTCATGTCGTTCATAGCTTTGGTCAAATAAGTTCTTACAGTCTCTAGCATTGGACACACCAATGAATCGTAGTAGCTAATAATGTTTTACATCGATTGAAAAATTACCAACCCCCAATGGCCTTGTATGATAACTCCTTAGGGGATATGAGCTAGTAATATTGCTATTTCAAAATGATAAACGCCGTAAAAATACTTGCAGGTACGAATGATGCTAAATGGTTAGAACATTTTTTGGTACAGCTACATTTCTTCACGTTTTTTTTTTTGCGAATATACACAAAAATGCACATAAAACTTCATTTGAAAGCTGCTCTGCAGAGTTATTTTCTAATAAGATCATTATCAATTAGTCCCGATAATTCTGTCGCAAAACCTTCAACTAAATTTTATTCTACCGCAGATTTGCTTAACACGTCCATACTTTTTGTCCCTAATTTTTGAAGAGATTAAAATTCCACAAATTCAATCTAATTGTGCTCACTTGTACTTCTGCAATTACTCCATTACTCGTTTTAGAGGCGAATTTAGTAAATATTAAAAGGACTGTTTTGTATGTTTATGTGAATGTGGTAGCTACGTTTTAATAGGAATAAATTGTTACTCATATTCATTTGAAAATCGGGTATTTGTGCTCTTAAGAATGTAAATGTCAGAATTCGAACGTAAGAACGTTACTCACAGTTTGGTTTTTTCCCTATTTACTTAAAGTTCAATAAGTTCCAAGGCAGTACTGTTTGTAGCTGTAAATGTATGCAAATGTATTTTTCAAAATTCGTTAATACGGATGCAAATTGAATAAAATTTACCGCGCGGGGATTCTCTTGTCACATTCAACGCAATTTCCTAGATCTATTTGGATGGCGCTGATTTAATTCATTAAGATAACAGAACTAGAACATTCAAAAACACATTTTGGAGAATTTATTAGAATATTCTGTTCGTATTCGAAAATAAATTATCAGTTCCTACCCAGGGGACTGGGAATGCTATCTCATGCATTTCGATTGGTGCACGGGAAGTGGTCTAACCTTGAGTGACGGATTCGCACACACGCACTCACTCGTACTCAGTTACTCAAACACTGTAGAGATTTTTTTCTCAAAATACAGAAAAAACAAATATTTTATTATACGCAACTCTGAAGACCCGCGAAAGGAAATGTCTAAGTACATATTTTTAAATTTGCCCCAACATTGAGAGGGAATGGCATTCCCCCCCCTCTGGCTAGGCCTGGCGACCTCCCAACAACTCATGACCCAGCACGGCGCATTCGAAGTTGTTAAAGGTGTTTAGAAATTAAGATTGGACAACAGTCGGTTAGAATAATAAAGGAGCGTGTTATCAAAAAATAATTATTTCCTGTATCTTCGTAAAGAGGTATCTTGAAAAAAGTGTAAAGACAAAAAATGCTTCTTGAAACACATTAAGATGCCAGTTTTCTTTTCGTTTGAACATTCTGTATATATTACATACGTATTAACAGTAGTTTCTAAATACATTACACAGTGTGTTCCACCAATAATGGGCCATCCTATAACTTCTAAACGGTTCCCGAAATGGAAATGCAGTTTTCGCTCAACAATGTGTAATCATGGGGCAAGTACTCGTAATATTTTGATTCCGAGAATTTAATCATCACTGTTTTTTTAATGGAACCATATATTTGCCTCACTATGTATTGTATGGTATACAATATGTGAAGATATAATGATGACAAATACTGTTAAAACTTCTCTCTTCTAACAAATATATTCCCCCTCCCAATACAATTCCTGGTTATGTGGGCTTATTGCATACATACTGTTTTTACGCAACTTTGGATGGTTGTCTTAAGTAATACGTCGAACAGATTAATTAGTCATTGTAAAAACTGATTATTATATAGTATGAAGAAAAATTGGCATCATTCGAATTGTTATTCCAAATAATTTGAACTCGTATGCTTAAATTGCATATTCGAAATTTGAATTTAATTATTTGAAGCAGATTTTTATAGATAAAAAAGCTTATAAGATTTAAGAAATAAGTATGTATCATACTCTTTCTGAATGAATATTAACATAAAATAATCGCATCCAATGTAAGACACAAAATTGCTGATGCAGAGACGACAAAACCTACACAATCCAAACCCATCCTTACATTGTCACTCATACTTTTCTCGTTACATTAATAAACACACTATTATTTATCTTTATTTGGAATCATTTATAATTAAAATTAATATTATTGCTTTCCTTCTATCAGGATTACCATTCAGATGTTTTTATTAATGAATTTGGGGTTTTATGAATACTATTCTTATTGGACCAAATATGTAAAATACATTTGAAAGGACTAATTTATTTTTATTTTAAAATAAAACTACGACTTCTAAGGATTAAAGAAAGGACACGGTTGGACACGGGTAACACGAGAAGAAATGACACGACTCGGTTGGGCAAGAACTAAAGAAATTGTACAGAGATGGGGGAAGAATACCTTGAACGGGGGAGGGGGGCGCTAGCGGACTGAAAGGCTCTTCTCAATACAAAGTATTTTATACACCGCATCGGGCCGTGAGGTGCCCGGGGGGAGAGGGATGGCGCTGGTTAAGAAGGGAGGCGGAGGATGACAAATTTACACGAATTTCCTTGCACGTACGATTTATTGATACTAAATACTATGCTAGGTGAAATGAGATGAAATATGAATGAAATACAATGAATATACAAATGACTGACGGTGCAGTTTAAGCAATAAACGTCAGTTATTGAATATAATTTGTCACCGTCAAGGTTCATTAGTCGAGCTATGCACCACACTTAAATGGGTATACGGCATTGCTGAATACATGGTACCAGTGTGGCTGCAGCATGCGTGGACCTCCGAGCTGCTCCTCTCCCGGGCGAAGCGGGAATGCAGGCATCCCACACAGTTCGCTGGTAGGATAGTCTGTCCAGCAGCTTGGCCACGCACCTGGCCCCAGGTGATCCCTGGCAGCAGGAGTGCGCGTGCGGCACACGGTCTCGGTGTGTGAGGAGGATCTGCTCGTACCGCACTGTAGTATCCGCCGATGGCAGATTCACTATGACTACATGCGGCAGCAACCTGTTCAGTGGCTGCTCGTCGAAGACAAGGTAGCGCACTTAATTCACAGATGTATGTGCCGAAGGCAGTGTTTTCGCGTGCGCGAAGCGCATTGAGTTATGCTATGAACTCGATCATGAGCACGGAGACTGCTCAACGAAAAGGCGCTGGGCCGCCGGTGTGGCCTGTGCCTCTCGCGGTGGATCTCGCCCGTCTCTGCTGGCAGAAGTGAAGGTGGCGTTGCAAGCGAGAAGGCTGCAGCCCTTCGGGAAAGCGTGGGGAGCCGCCGTTCGGGGCAGGGGCCGGCGGCGCGGGTGCGGCGTGGGTGCGGCGGGCGCACCCTGTTGGAGCGGCCGCCTCCGGAGGGAGGGAGCGACCACCCGCCTTGCGCGAGGGCTTTGTGTTGTGGACGGAACACAAAAGTCACGACACGGTTCGATCATTCTTTGTAAGTTGAAATTTGTAAAAAAATTGCTTCTCTTGAGAATGAACAGCCGAAGTTTCCAACAGATAGCCGATATACCAGCAACATTATAAATACCGCAATATCTTTTTGAAATTAACAGAATTCACAGTGCACTTCTTTGTAGCTGTAGTAAACAGATGTTGAAAAAAGAAAGCTTTTAAAACTCCATATTTTGATTCATAACGTGGATCATTCCATTATGTTTGCAATAAAGGAGGCCACTTAACGCAAAAACGTTTGAATGTTTCATACGACTCTGACATGCTTGTGAAGAAGCATTAAGTCACACACTTCGTCTTAATGCCGAAATACCCAATTGATTATCAAATGCCTGCGATTACTTTCAACTCAGTTGAATAATTTTAAGTTGTATAATATATAGGATGAAGTAAGAGTGGCTCGTATAAAAAAAGCTTTGCCTCAGCCTCAACCTCAACATGCATACGTTAGTCTCTAAGTCACGAAGGGACAACTCGCTGTATCGTGAGCCAGTCGGAAACGTCCTGGAAATAATAACCTTCAGTTTTGATTAACATAATTTTCTTCATATTCGAAAATATCCTGGTAATTGGAGTGTGTTCTAAAATTTCTTTTCGGTTAAAAATATCACTTTATTTAATTCACAGTAACAAATATTAATAAATTACAATAAACCATTTTTGTACACTTACCGACTGTGGATCCACTACCAAATTCGAGACTGTTTCCAATTACAGGGTACGGTTTTGGTCCTGGAAGGTTCGCAACAAGGCGAGCTGCGCGTGAATGGTTAATCCAATAGTACGGCACTGCCAACAACACGAACAAAAGTAGAGCAGGTAGCACCAAAACCAGCATCTTGGCGTTTTAATTCTGAAACAATCATACATTTTTCTCTTTAACTATTTCATGTTTATGTACCACTGAATGAAAAAAAAATTAGTAAAGTAAGCAGGGTGTCATTCATATCTAAGGAATATTACCCCTCACGGGAGGGAGGAAAATTCTAAAAATGAATTTATATTTTTGCTGTGAAACAAATGTACACTACTTTACTACTAATGGAATACTAGAGAGAAACGGATCTGCATAGATTGATTTTTTTATTGGAGAAAAAGCGAAGTATGGATTCAAAATGGCAATGTAATGCCATTAGAAAACCTAGTACGTCTGTTCTGAATAAAGACTAACATAGATCATTACATGTTCCTTGATATATTTCTTAGATATAACATTATTTCTTCTAATGTAGCTGTGTTGTAGTGTTGTAACTGAAACTTTTTTCCCCATCCCGATCGTGAGAGGGATGGGGTCTCACGTTAATCAAGCACCCCGATTGTGACAGGCGAGGCAACTCACGACATGGCTGCTTACGGCCAAACAATAACTCGAGGCTGTTAAATTTAGCAGTACTGTGTTTACTTTGTTTAAATAATAAATATTTAGTTCTTAATTTTTTACTTTTTCTGGTGAATTCTACATAAGTACGATTAATCGTAGTTTTTACGATTACAGCGCCATGTATCACGAATATACAAAAAATTCAGATACAATGTACATACATTTTTATGGAGAATTCAAATCTGCAATAAAAATAGTGGTTTCCATTTAACATTCCGTAGTTGCCCCCACCTCATCCCCTGGGAGTGAGGGGTGCGATTGAGCTGTGAGATTTGGAAGTCATGTTCAGTATCATTAAATAGATTAAAAAAATATTAAACACGAATAATGTAGTTTTCCGATTCGATGTGTATTTCTCGAGATATTAGACGTTTCCATAATTCCATTCTTACGGTATCAGGATAAATCGTATTATTTTTATTATAGCGCCATCTGAAAAGAATAGAAAACGTTTTATAATACCGAAATATAATATTTTTGATCCTCCAGTTGAAAAGTTCAGTCTCTTGGTAGGCGCGAATGCAATCTACGTCTCATTTTGCGATTAGACATCTTTGGCAGTGGAGAGAAAATTGGTGGACACTGTGTGCGATTGTAGAAGAAAATACACTGTTGCTGAGTTGAAGCAAGCCCGGGCCCCTTCCCACGTCGCCTCCGCTACGCGCCTCCGCTACGCGCCTCCGCTACGCGCCTCCGCGCCTCCGCGCCTCTCGCTGCGCGAAGCGGAGGAGGGCGCACGCGCCTTCAATTTTTTTTCGGCGAAGCCGAAGGTCTGTGTAAATTGTTTTACGCAGAGCGTTTTACTGCTTTATTGAGGTGGTTGGTGTAGGTTCGTGTCGGACCTTTGTCATTTGCCAGATCGGCCATTGAGTTCAATCATATTTATGACTTTGTCGTTTCTTGGGTATGCTGCGCTACGACCCCAAGATATCAGAGGGGAGAGCTTGTCTTCTGTGTTCTATAGTAAGAGCATGTCGGGCTAGTTGTTTGAGCGTATCCGGTGCTTCGCTTGATTGAAAGGCTTGATAGGCTTCATTAAAAGATAGCCATCTCAAGCATAGTGTGAACGACTCGATGTCGAGTTCCTTTCTGAGTACTGTCAACCGCTTCCGAAACGGAGGGCGCGCTATTAGCCGCAGAACTCCGTTCTGAACGAACTCAAGTGTATCTTTGTACTTCTTCGGTGTGGTCCACCGCGGCGCAAGTGGCCACATGTCGGCCACATGTTTTGTAGAGTGCCAAACGAAGGTCCAAGGAGAGTGAGGGTTCCTTCAAAAGAGGTAAGAGGCGGACTCTGTTTTGAAGTTTTGACCCAATTCGCCTGACATATAAATGACATCGCATTCTTTGATCAAAAGTGACGCCCAGGTAAGTTACCTTTGGTGCCCACTTCAATTTTTGAGTACCAAGTGTGATTTGTTTTGGCGGTGTGAAACGCTTTGTATATTTCTGTTTGCGGCGAGTGTAACTCATTTAAACTTTTCCGCTGAGAAAGTCAAGTGTTTTTTTTCCTCCCACTTACGCGTCAGGTTCATCTGTTTCTGTTAGTGGTCTAGGTTTATTGATCTTGCTAAGACGGCTTTGTCATCAGCGTAAAGGAATAGTCTTATTCGTGGAATTTGCGGTATGTCATTAACATAAAGCGAGAACAGTAATAGAGAGAGGACGGAGCCCTGAGGGACCCCTGCCACAAATCTCTGCTTATAGGATCTCGGTTTTCCCGCATTTACCACGAATGTTCGGTTTTTGAGGAAAGATGTAACCATTTCGGTTACGTCTTGTGGAAGGCAGCGCCGGAGTTTTGTGATAAGTGTGTTGTGTGGCACTCTGTCGAAGGCTTGTACCATGCCGAGATAAATGACAGGTACATGTGTGAGTAACAGATCAGCGGATATCTGCTGAGCCATGGAAAGTGCTTGTAGAGAAGTGGAGTGACCCGGTCTGAATGGTACTTCTTGTCTCGAATTAGATTTGGAGAGAGAACAGTTGGAGGATTCGTGCAAGGAGCCTTTCGAATATTTTTCCCATAACCGGGAGAAGGCTGATTGGCCGGAGGCACGCCACGATCGTAAGATCCTTACCGGGTTTCAGAAGCATAGAAATACTTGCGTATTTCCAGTTATTTCACTGTTAGTTATTTTCTTTTAAAGAATTTTTTTTTAGATTACAATGATATACACTGTACATTTCACCATGTTACAAAATTCACATTGTTATAAATGCAAAGGGTTAAAAGCAGTAGGGATTATCAGCAATCGACAAGTGTGTCCTAATAACCTTCAACGGCTTTTAAGGCCGTGATTAGAGTCATATTACACAGGTTGTCTAGTTCTAGTCATACTGCAAGAGTCGATTCTACAAAAGGCCCTGATTCGAGTCATTCAAAATGGCAGGGTCGATCACCTTGGCTTTTATTTATAAAAGTGCATCTCACCTGAGTTGAAGTTTCGCAGGCCGAATGCTTATGTGTACATAATTAAAACCAAAAGAATATGACGTATGTATTGAACAACTATATTATGTATATTCCTACGTATACGGAAAGTAGAAATAGAGAGAGCGTGTCCTTCGTATGCCAGCAGCAAGCATTCCAAAGCAAGCAATGAAATATAATCCATATGGCAAAAGATGTGAGGAAAGTCCGAGGAAGAGATGGTGAGATCGGAACAGGCCTCAGGCCTAATCCTGGCGAGACAGAAGAAGACGATGACGACGACGATGATTTTTCCAAAATCGATTTGAAACATCTGATGTATCGTACGGCACGAATGACAGGTGAAAGAGTTCCGTACGGAACTCCCGTGACGACCTTGGAACACGCCTTCTAACTTCAAAAAGAGGATTGAATCAACGTTCTTTTCATTGTAAATAGCACGTCACGCGACCGCCTCGACGAAAAATTTCAAAAGCGGGACAGGCTTACTTAAGCATTCGTCGCATGCATGTGGAGCTACCGTATACGGTGTGAATATGTCGCACAGGTATGCCACATCTATAGATAATTCTAGGGTGTTTTCCTGAAGTGTAAAACTATCCACTAGTTGCAGGCAAACTTAAAGAAACGAGCCTATTGGTCTATGTAGGATAAAAAGGCAGTGTTGGCTTACAGTCTGGCGAATTCGTAAATACAGATCTGAATACTGTCGCTTTAATAAATAGTGACAATCGGTTCATATGTTGTTTTTCGCTTATAGGCCAACTCTGACCACAAGTACATCCTGGTTCAGAAGGTGCAAGTACCTTTCTGGGGGGGGGGATCCAATTTTACCTGAATCTCGATTTTTATCCCCCAAGGTTGTTAGCCCTGGGGCTCTGTATAGACGATGAGATGGTGAGGGATGAAAGGGTATCTCACACATGTGGATATATATATATATATATATATATATATATATATATATATATCCATGCCCCCGCTATTTTCTGGTCCGAGACCGCTACGGCACTATTGCCCTGACAATCTCGGCCATCTGATCGGACAATCGGTTCATATATATTGTAGTAATAGTAAAACAAATTAAATGCAAGCACAAAACAAAGATATTTGTAACCCGCTCGTAGCGAAAACTAAAACTATCTTCTCTTTATGATCAAAGTGATATGATGTACAAAATGTATACTATTATATTTAACAAGTTCGATTATTAGTTTCTTCAACACACTGTGCAAAGGTTATATTAAAAACATGGAACATTATACACGTGAAAACTTAAAAAATGTTTTAGTGCCTGAAAAATCATTGACTCGGTGAACTTTTATAATGCGTTTGATCCGTGCTATCTTGACGTGCTATACAGATATCACTGTTTATCTCTAAGCTTTTAGCCTCGTCCATTTCAACAGATGTTTGCAATTTCCACGAACAACATTGTAGACTTGCTGAATCATGTTTATACGTTTCTTCTTAACGTCTATGGTGTGCCCAGCTGTATGTAGCTAAAGTGCGTCACTAGTAGCACTCGTCAGTCACTATTACGTGTTGCCACCCGTCTTCGCATACGCATGAGTCATTAGTAAGATGGTCAGGGTGCGGTGAAGCTGTTGAGTTTACGCATTAACATAACGCTACGTCATGTGTGCGCTGAGTTCATCAATACTTTGCGAGAGGAGGTGCAGGTCTCGTGCTTCAGAAAGCGCTGCTCGTAACTAACGATCAGGAGTAAAACAAAGCTCACTAATTGACGCTGTCGTTTGCCAAAAACAAAAGGCGAGAAAAATGGCTGATCTAAGTTTTGACCAATTCAATGTTATTCTTTTCTACAATATGCTATTATTCTATTAATGAGAGTTCTATTAAGACTTAACATTTGTTTTGAACTTATATATTTTGAATTTTGAATTTATTGAGCTTTTTTGTTTAGAAATGATTTTTTTAAGTTTTAAAATTAAAAATAAAAACCTATTTATCAACTATAAAATATTTAAAATCAAGCCTGGCTAAGCCGCGGCACGCATGTGGCACCCCACATTTA